ATTAATAATAATTTACAAATTATCAAGGGTTCATGAGGGAAGGGAGAGCGGGAAGGGAGGAGGGAAAATGAGGAGCTGATGCCAAGGGCTTAAGTGGAGAGCAAATGTTTTGAGAATGATGAGGGTAATAAATGTACAAATGTGCTTTACACAACTGATGTATGTATGGATTGTGTTAAGAGTTGTATGAGCCCCCAATAAAATGATTTAAAAGAAAGATAATTATCAAGAAGAAAAAAAGCCACTAAAACATAAAACCAGAGCTAAAATTTGACAGTGGTTAAACGTTTAAGATTATCAAGCACTATAAGCTGCACTCAGTAAGTAAGTAAACAACAGCTACACGAGTCTAGACTGGTCTCTATACATTCATATTTTTACCTTCAAAGCCCAGGCCTGTTAGGTCCCGCTTCTTGAGCTCCTGCAGCTCCCGCTGTATGTCAGTTAGCACCAAGCCAGTTTTGGCCCCAGATAACATGTGCGCAGCCTGGTCAATGAAAACGCAGCAGCCAACATTAATGAGGCAGTAAACATTGGGGAAATACACAGTTGTGTTTTCACCCAATACTCAGCAATAACCAACACACACACTAGCTTTATCATCTTCATTACTGACACCATTTTGAAACTCCATTTGAGAACGCAAACCACCCAAGAGCACTGCCGCGCCGGCAATTCCGACTCCTACAGACTCAACCGGAGTTTGTCTTCGTCACAGCCGCCCACCCCTCTCTCACCCAACCCAAATAGGAAAGAAAACAATATGCAGAATTTTGTGGAAAATCACATTTAGAAGGTATTGTGGTGGTGCTGTGGATGACATATTAGGCTGCTAATCATAAGAACGGCACTTGAAGGCCACCAGTCAGAGAAAGGGATGAGGCTGTCGGCTCCTGTAAAGATTTTCATCTTAGAAACCCTGTAGAGTCCCAATGGCAGGGGGTTTGATTCAGTTTTTTGGGTTTACCAAGTTTAAGAGCAGATAGACAATGAATTATATATGTAGAAATTGTTGAAATGCCAAATGTTTTGTTGTGCATATTTTCAGCACAATTTTTTCAGAACGGAGTCAACAGAAATGAAAACCAACAAGATGTTAAATAACAGGAGTGCTAAGTACCGATAGGTTTGACTTCTCAGCATACATACGGCCCATGTGAGGAGTCACCAGCATGTCACCTGAGCAGAAACCTGTATCGAGCTTCACATATAAACCATGCCCTTGCATAGCAAGAAACTCGGGCACACCTAAGATCTTTACATTGCGGCTTAAAATATATGTAATCAAATGAAAACTTTATACTAATCTCCACTAGATATCAAGACAGTAAACCAACCCACGGATGGGCGGGTGGACTAGCCTGACCCGATGTAGTTGTGCTAATTGCCGTCGCATCGGTTCTAACTCCCAGCGGCCCTGTGCACAGCAGAACGAATGCTGCGCCGGCTCTGGGCCAGCCTCACAATTGTTCCTG